ATACCTATTATGTATTGTATAGCCTAGCCCATTAGCCTTTTTGGAGTTAAACTTACAAAGCCCATTGAAAAGCCTAAAAGAAAATAGACTCGTTACGGAAAATTCACCGGATACTTCACAAAAACGTTTTTGCCTACCGTATACTTCACCGTAACGTTTCCAAGGCGTTTCCAAGCCGTATCCGTTTCCCAGTAGTTTCTGATACGAGAACGGTACCCTAACAGGAGTTTCCATGCATCATATCTTCATGGAAACCGAATAACCCTGGAAGGAGATTCATTGGTTGCCCCAATTTCAAGGTGAGTGTCTTCGAATCTTTAAAATTAAACACCATATTTCTTATCTTCATACACATCTTCTAATCGTTTCATGTTAAGTTTTTTAGTCGATGTTGGTTTCTTGCAAATAGAAATCCCAGTACCCAAACAACAACATGAATCAAATCAATTGATCATTGACTACTCCCACACATGTCGATTAAAAAAAAAACTAAAGTGAAATTCTCTAGTATAGTAAATCTGTCTAAAAACAACATGAATAAAAAAAAACATTTTTTCTTTCTAAACAACAAAAATCGTTAATTGAGTACATTATTCAACAAAACAATGTGAATAATAAGAATCTTACAATTGTTCATTACAATGGACTTGTGATACATTACAACAAGAAATTTAGTACATTAAGCACACACACTAAATCTCAAAAATCACACACAATTGTTCATTACAATTGTTCACACACAATGGACCTCTTCTGTTTCTTTAAAATTTCGAAAATCACATACAATGAACAACAAGAATCACACACACTAAATCTCAAAAATCACACACAATTGTTCATTACAAAATCATTACAATTGAGTAGTAGATTACCTTTTATACCAAACAAATGTGCTCTAACTCTAGAATATGATCCTTGCCGGGTTTCACCGCAAAGGTTACACTTAAATTTCCAACATCCTCCTGCTCCAACAAGTTTTTCCAGTTTAGTCACATAGTCCTACAATGGAGGTTGGTCTGATGAAGTTGATGATCCTTGTGTTTCTTGAGAAGCCATAATCGATGGGTTTAGGAATTAGGAGAATGGTGGATTTAGAAATCAGAAATTCAGATTTGGTGAATGGGTAATTGATGATCGCCAGAAATCAGAATTGGAGAATGGTGAATACAGAAATCAGAATTGGAGAATGGAGAATGGTGATCGATCGTCTCTAATCGACGTTACAGTAGTCGGCAGTCGTTTACGTGATTGAGTAATACCTATTATGTATTGTATAGCCTAGCCCATTAGCCTTTTTGGAGTTAAACGTACAAAGCCCATTGAAAAGCCTAAAAGAAAATAGACACGTTACGGAAAATTCACCGGACACTTCACAAAAACATTTTTGCCTACCGTATACTTCACCGTAACGTTTCCAAGGCGTTTCCAAGCCGTATCCGTTTCCCAGGAGTTTCTGATACGAGAACGGTACCCTAACAGGAGTTTCCGTGCATCATAGCTTCATGGAAACCGAATAACCCTGGAAGGAGATTCATTGGTTGCCCCAATTTCAAGGTGAGTGTCTTCGAATCTTTGAAATTAAACACCATATTTCTTATCTTCATACGCATCTTCTAATCGTTTCATGTTAAGTTTTTTAGTCGATGTTGGTTTCTTGCAAATAGAAATCCCAGTACCTAAACAACAACATGAATCAAATCAATTGATCATTGACTACTCCCACACATGTCGATTAAAAAAAAACTAAAGTGACATTCTCTAGTATAGTAAATCTGTCTAAAAACAACATGAATAAAAAAAAACATTTTTTCTTTCTAAACAACAAAAATCGTTAATTGAGTACATTATTCAAAAAAACAACGTGAATAATAAGAATCTTACAATTGTTCATTACAATGGACTTGTGATACATTACAACAAGAAATTTAGTACATTAAGCACACACACTAAATCTCAAAAATCAGACACAATTGTTCATTACAATTGTTCACACACAATGGACCTCTTCTGTTTCTTTAAAATTTCGAAAATCACATACAATGAACAACAAGAATCACACACACTAAATCTCAAAAATCACACACAATTGTTCATTACAAAATCATTACAATTGAGTAGTAGATTACCTTTTATACCAAACAAATGTGCTCTAACTCTAGAATATGATCCTTGTCGGGTTTCACCGCAAAGGTTACACTTAAATTTCCAACATCCTCCTGCTCCAACAAGTTTTTCCAGTTTAGTCACATAGTCCTACAATGGAGGTTGGTCTGATGAAGTTGATGATCCTTGTGTTTCTTGAGAAGCCATAATCGATGGGTTTAGGAATTAGGAGAATGGTGGATTTAGAAATCAGAAATTCAGATTTGGTGAATGGGTAATTGGTGATCGCCAGAAATCAGAATTGGAGAATGGTGAATACAGAAATCAGAATTGGAGAATGGAGAATGGTGATCGATCGTCTCTAATCGACGTTACAGTAGTCGGCAGTCGTTTACGTGATTGAGTAATACCTATTATGTATTGTATAGCCTAGCCCATTAGCCTTTTTGGAGTTAAACGTACAAAGCCCATTGAAAAGCCTAAAAGAAAATAGACACGTTACGGAAAATTCACCGGATACTTCACAAAAACATTTTTGCCTACCGTATACTTCACCGTAACGTTTCCAAGGCGTTTCCAAGCCGTATCCGTTTCCCAGGAGTTTCTGATACGAGAACGGTACACTAACAGGAGTTTCCGTGCATCATAGCTTCATGGAAACCGAATAACCCTGGAAGGAGATTCATTGGTTGCCCCAATTTCAAGGTGAGTGTCTTCGAATCTTTGAAATTAAACACCATATTTCTTATCTTCATACGCATCTTCTAATCGTTTCATGTTAACTTTTTTAGTCGATGTTGGTTTCTTGCAAATAGAAATCCCAGTACCTAAACAACAACATGAATCAAATCAATTGATCATTGACTACTCCCACACATGTCGATTAAAAAAAAACTAAAGTGACATTCTCTAGTATAGTAAATCTGTCTAAAAACAACATGAATAAAAAAAAACATTTTTTCTTTCTAAACAACAAAAATCGTTAATTGAGTGCATTATTCAAAAAAACAACGTGAATAATAAGAATCTTACAGTTGTTCATTACAATGGACTTGTGATACATTACAACAAGAAATTTAGTACATTAAGCACACACACTAAATCTCAAAAATCAGACACAATTGTTCATTACAATTGTTCACACACAATGGACCTCTTCTGTTTCTTTAAAATTTCGAAAATCACATACAATGAACAACAAGAATCACACACACTAAATCTCAAAAATCACACACAATTGTTCATTACAAAATCATTACAGTTGAGTAGTAGATTACCTTTTATACCAAACAAATGTGCTCTAACTCTAGAATATGATCCTTGTCGGGTTTCACCGCAAAGGTTACACTTAAATTTCCAACATCCTCCTGCTCCAACAAGTTTTTCCAGTTTAGTCACATAGTCCTACAATGGAGGTTGGTCTGATGAAGTTGATGATCCTTGTGTTTCTTGAGAAGCCATAATCGATGGGTTTAGGAATTAGGAGAATGGTGGATTTAGAAATCAGAAATTCAGAATTGGTGAATGGGTAATTGGTGATCGCCAGAAATCAAAATTGGAGAATGGAGAATGGTGATCGATCGTCTCTAATCGACGTTACAGTAGTCAGCATTCGTTTATGGGATTGAGTAATACCTATTATGTATTGTATAGCCTAGCCCATTAGCCTTTTTTGGAGTTGAACTTACAAAGCCCATTGAAAAACGTAAAAGAAAATAGACACGTTACGGAAAATTCACCGGATACTTCACAAAAACGTTTTTGCCTACCGTATACTTCACCATAATGTTTCCAAGGCGTTTCCAAGCCGTATCCGTTTCCCAGGAGTTTCTGATACGAGAACGGCACCCCAACAGGAGTTTCTGTGCATCATAGCTTCATGGAAACCGAATAACCCTGGAAGGAGATTCGTTGGTTGCCCCAATTTCAAGGTGAGTGTCTTCGAATCTTTGAAATTAAACACCATATTGGTTACAATGTGAGGTTGTTATATTCAAATATTTGAAATTAAACACCATAGTATATACATTATGCAAAATGTCGTCCATTGATGGAAAAGGAGAAGGATTGCAAATGCTTTGACTGGATAGATCCTCCATTACCAAACAACTGGTACAAAGAGATGATATATGATTTTCACAACCAAGGAATTCATGGAGTCAATGCTGAAGAATTTGAAGACTTCTTGGATGAAGCTGTGGAAGAAGTAATGCAACAGATTCCTATGCAAGTGGAAGGTGGAATTGTTGTTAGGGGTTGGAAGATTTGTTGTTTGGTTGGTTTGATTGCAATTGTTTGGGTTATGGTTATGTAAGTTTAGGATGTTTAATTATGTTTCTATGCAATGTTAGGATTCCCTGTTTCTTTTGCAATGTAATGGTATGAATTGTGGAAAACTTGATCTTCTAATGTAATGGTTATGAAATGCATATTCTAAAGTTATGTGTTGACATTATAAACCATACCAAAGTGTATATTCCAAAGCATATTGTATTAACAATACCAAACTCTATTTACAATACAAACTAACATTCCAAATAACAATAAGAAACTACATGCAGTATATGAAACTAATAAATTAGTTAACCAAAACATAAAAATTCCATTCAACCACAAAACCACCATTGTTTATACATATAATATGTCATAATGTTTGAATTTCCAAAAAAATTACAAAAGGTGAAATTTTGTACCTAAAGAATTATAAACTAAAGCCAACACAATGACTTAATTACAAAAGGGCTACCATGTCACAATCATTTTCTCTATTCTAAAGTAAGTGCATTGTCTGCACTCGTCCCAAATTTTTTCACCATCTGCTTCTTCAATTTCAACTCAGTGATCCTTTTTGATGGCTTCCTCCTCTCGATTTCTTGGGTGTTCCTCTTCCTGGTTTCTTAGGTATCCTCAATACCATCGTCCTCTTCATCACTCTGATCATGTTCATATTGAGTATATACATTGCCCTCTTCTTCAGTCACTGCTATTGTTTGAGTCTCTTCTTGAGTCTCTTGAATTGGGTGTTGTGTACTATGAACATTGGTTTCCTGGATAAAAAAAACAAGTAATTTTAGAAAAAATGACTTAAATTTGTAATTCCCTTAAAAATAAACACTCGCCACATAGATATATCCAAACTCCTTCGGTTAAGATTCATTAATTCCAAGAGAAGCCATTATTTTAGCATCATTGTAGTTTAATGCCCTCACATTTAGAATGGAGTGTACTATTACATCCATATGTGATATATCAATGCCATCCCTTTCATCCATCACATCAGTTTCTGCTTTAGCCTCAAAACTTAGGTGTCTTCTCAATTTTAAACTATGTTTACTCTCATACTCAAACTGTGGACCCTTTGAACTTTCCCCTATCTCACCTCTACCACCTACAAGCCCTCTAAAACCACCTTTATTGCCTCTACCACCTGTTGGCCCCCTTCCACCTTTTTTCCAATGTGTAAGATTATGATCCAACTTAGGCCTTCCCATTTTCTTCTTTGGTTTTGAATCAAGGATCACCTTGGGATTTTTGCTAGATACCTTATGGTGACCGTTTTGTTGGAAGTTTTTACATTGGACAGTTATACCCTTAGATGATACTTGTGAAAACTTGTCTTTATGTTCATAAACATGCCTTTTTCTATTGATGGATGGCCTTCCTGACATCCTTCTTTAAATAGGTGGGAGGAGCTTTGGATAAGGAGATTTCATCCATTAATTGCTACCACTGACTGGTAGTATGTTAGAACCATAAGTCAACATATATTTCTCCTTATCAAACCAACTACTAATGTAACTAACATGATCTTGTTGTGTATACATAATTGCAGCTTGGGCATGTACACAAGGTATCCCTGATACTTTCCACAAATTACATGTACAAGAATACCCCTGTAAGTCAACTCCATAGGAGTGAAAATTATTCCTCACTTCAAAAGCAGTTACACCACTAGGATGAACATGCCATGCCTTGTAATTAAGAGTACATTAGCATATGAAACATAAATTTGATGAATTAAATTGTAGGATTACTTACTTTAAACTTTCACAAAATGCTTTCATCTTCTTAATTGACGATGGACATACTTGAGTATCCTATTTCTGTCATTCTTCCTTCAGGTTATAAAATCTTTCCATCATGTATAATCTTATTTCCTCAAGCACGGTCGGTAAGGGCTTCTTTCTAGCATCCATGATAACTTAATTGAAACATTCAACCATTCCATTTTCTATTGTTTCACATGCCTATCCTCCACCATATAAGGCCATGCACCATAAACTAGGATCCCTTGTCATTAGATGTTCATAATCAAATGGACTAATATCCCTAATCCTTTGTATGTTCATCTTGAACTCCCCTTCAACAATTGATTTTGAAGCAGCCCAGGACATATTTTTTAACTCCACATCACTATACACCTTTCTGAAGTTGGCATATATATATATATATATATATATATATATATATATATATATATATATATATATATATATATATATGCCTGGCACACTGTCTGTGTTCTGCAAGTGGTAGGATTTCCTTTGTAGCCTCAAGAAGCCCCTATTTATAACATAAACAATTATATCAGTAAAGTAAATATGAATTATCTAGTAAAGAAAGAGTAAAGTATTTGTGAAGTACCTCGTGTTGATCGGAAATTACTGCCATACCCCTTCTACCATCCAATTCTAAATCATCTGTTGCCAATTCCAAGAACCATTTCTAGTTTGGTTTGTTCTCTATATCAACCATAGCCCATGCAGTGGGATATACTTGATTATTTGCATCCTTCCCTATAGCATTTAACAATTATCCCTTACATTAACCCTTTATAAAAGAACCATCTAGCCTAATAACCCTACGGCAACCAAGCTTCCATCCTTCTTTTATTGCTTTATAACAGATATACATTCTTTGGAAAGTAGTTGTGTTATCATGGTTTTGACTCACATAAATTTTAATTGAACTACATGGATTTGATCTCAACAGCTCACCACCATAATCTCATACTTTAGCATAGTGATCACTTAATTTCCCTTCTATCAAAGACATGTCCCTACACTTTGCTCTATAACACTTTAACCAATACACATTTCAGTGGAATCTGCTTTGGATAATTACTTGCATTTCCTTACACTTCAACTTAGGCTTCTTGATCAATTATTTCAAAAACTAGTTTCCTAACCTTGTTGGATCTATAAGGTTGGTATTACTGTAACTCCTAACAAACCTATTTTTGTCAAGTTTCTTAATTTTGAAATGACCTCTGTGTGCTCATCCAAGAAGCCCTAACATTAAAGGGACATTGGATTTTTTGTGGATCACTAACACATACAACAACTAGCCTAACACTGTCACATTTCTTGAACTTTATCTTATAGCCGGTATAAATAGCATGGTTGGTTAAACATAACTTCAGTTGATGGGGCGATTCATACCCCTCTTCCATAAATGGTCTCATCTTGTTACATTTCACCTTTGGATCGTGGGTGTTGTACTCAAACTCTAGCTTAGATTTTTTGTCCATTTCAGTTGATACTTCTTTATCAGGCCTACTTCCTTCTCGATTTAGGTCAAAAGGATCTTCGTTCTCCACCACATCATCTTCATTTAAGTCACCATCACCATCGATATATTCAATTTTAGGGATTGCGAAGTCATCACCTTCCTCACCACCTACATCGAGACACAAGTTGTTCAAGAACGCGTCACTGCATCTCTTGGTTTGCTTCTTCTTCAAATCCTTGTCTATTTCAACATCAATAGTTTCAAAATCTCAGGCGTCTTCCATTTGCAAAGCTTGGAAGACTCAAACTCGTTCCCTCAATTGTCGTCTTTTCACAAGTAAAAACCATAGTTTCTACGGAAGGAGTGGATATTGAGTTAATTGTGTGATTTACTGTTGAAGGGATGAATGTATGAGGTTTGGTCGACTCACCTTCCACCTAATCTCATTTAATGCCACATTGATTTGTTACTGGCTGCAAGAGTGGTAACCAAGTAATATGGGTCAATTCGCAGCTTTATCTGGTATTCCATGATTTTTCGTTAACATTTTATAGTTTAGGACTTTTTCGTAAATAGGAAAAAATAATAGGACTTTATTGGAGATGTCCCAATTTTTTATTTTAATTTTATGTAAGATATGATAAATATTAGAAACGATAAAATGATGTCAACAATTTACATATTATATCAATGCCACATCATCTCAACACTACATAGGATGTTATACGTTGCATAACGATGTATGGGACTAAAAATATGTATAATAGTTGCGAGTGACTAAATTGAGAAAAAAAAAATAGTGGGTCATCCATCATAAACTATCGTTAAAAAACATAATGCTATCTAAAACTACAAACAAATTGCATTTTGTCATTTATTCGTAACATTTCAAGAACATTCCAATAATTCAATTATTCAATATTAATTAGTTACTTTATTGTGATTTTCAAACATAAATTATCAAAATATTTCCAAACAAAGTGTTTATTTAATTAATTTTCACCCGATAAAGAAAAATTAAAGACATTTTATTCCTGCAAAAGTTGTGCAATGACAACTTTTGTAAAATTTATGTTTTCTTAGGCTATTAGTAATACTTTCCATGCCAAGGATTGTAAAGAGCTTCTAGATCAGCCAACATTACCACCACAAATTAAAACCATGGAGTACTCTCTCTCTCTCTCTCTCTCTCTCTCTCTCGGATCGAGAGAGAGAGAAGAAGAAGAATGTTGGGTGCCTAAGAGAGAACAAGAAGGTTGGGTGCCTAAGAGAGAAGAAGACGACGATTGGTCGTGATCAATCATCCTCCTAACCACAACTCACAACAAAAACGTCCGACCACGAACCGATGGGATGGTGTGCACGGTCGCGGTTCGTGACCACATCAACCATGATGCCCTCCGTGATATGTATTACAAAAGGGCTTAGTTGTAATTTTAGAATAACTAAAATAATCACAAAGAATAACAAAAACTACAATAAATTTTTTTAGGGCCAAAATCATTTTCTTTGGGTTATTATGTGAATGCATGTAAAAACACAATAATAATCCAAATCAATAAATAATAAGAAAAATGGCTCTAGTTTTTTTTTCTTTTATTTATTTATTATTTTTTTAAGAACACAAACATATACACTTACTACACTGCTCCTAAACCAAGCCTTTTTATAATGATATACAACTGATTCTAAACATATTTCATTCATCTAAACATCATTATAATTTTTAAGTATCACAAAATATACCATTAATATAATTTTTAAGTATCATAAAGTATACCATTAATAGAAACATAATTTCAAACCTACTATTTTTCATCCAAACTTAAGAATACGTATTTCTATTTATAAAAAAACACTCACATGACCTAATTTGCATATCACTAACAATTTGGGAATTTTTATTAAAATGGAGAAAAGTTAACAATTGCTGAATGTTGCTATCTTTTTATATTCGAGCTTAACTTTATTAAGCATAACATATCTCATACGCAATTCCTTTTATATTTACAATATATGTGATTTTGTTGAAAACCACCAAAAGCCAAAGTTTCCATAACATCAACATCAACCTCATGCAATTCAATTCAAACACATCTTTAGAATCCTTATGGAATGCTCATTGATAATTCGTCGAAAGATTGTACGTGCATTAACATCTTGTATTCAAAACATCATCACTCCAATTTACACACAAATATCAGCCAAAAAGCTCCAAATATTGTTTCAATTACGCTAAAAGCTCCAAAATCAGTATTGTAGACTATAGTGACAACAAAGGTAGCACATGCAGAAAATGGCAAAGATTGCATCTTTTGTCACTTAAATATTTGGTCAAAGAAAGTCAAAACAGTTTCTTCAAAAGGCCTTTAACATATTTTGATTGATTAATAATTAGATGCCTTTTGAATCCGAGTGCAATGATCTAGATATTAGTTCACAAACAAATAACATTTAAAAGTTAGTAAACACACTCTTAGGTAACAAACACTCGGTTCACATCTTACAATACCTAAGACATACTTTCTTATGCTTTCTTAGATATCCACGTTCTTGAGCTTTCCAGATACCTATAATTCTGCACACTGTTCACTTATACTGATATTGTAATACCAACCTGTAACATGTTAAAGCGTGACAAACAACACTTTACAACAATATTCTTCTATCGTACTTCATATATATTCGTCATATCTAATTCCTCAAGATATATACAAGCAATATATGTTGAGAGTATCATAAAATGTGACTTATTATTCTCATTGACAATCTAAGATAGTAGATTCTATCATCCTCCAAACCTATAATGACACAAATACAAAGGAAATCACGGATATTATAGTTGGGTGGAATGGAGCTGCTCCCCTTTTACTCATTTACGTCTTTACAACCTTAAGTATCTTGTTAAGGGTTGTGGTTTCTTTAATGCTATCTTACTTGTCGTTTCCAAAAAAAACTACCAACTTTTAATAGAAACAAAATTTTTCCAATGTGATGCCTTTTATAAATTAAATTACATAACAATTAATTCACAAAAAGCATGATGTCCAACGTATACATATAATCGATTGTCTTTACCCTCTTTACTAAAATCTGAGCACTATCATATTCTTCTATTTAATCATTTTACTTGATAGATTTTTTACTCTTTTTTACTAATTCTTAACTAAACTAATAACTTACAATAAATTCTAAAAAGAAAACAAGAAAAACATGACAAAAAGGCTTAGAATTTATGAAATGAGGTCGTTTTAAAATCATGTAAGGAATCGTGTTTGAGGTAATAAGAATTAATAAATATAACTCACATTATAATCTCGTTTAACTTGTTCTATTAAATTCAAACACGATTTTATAGATATTTTCGGGTTATTCAAGTTCTTTGGTAGACATTCGATAGACAATTTTTAGCTATTCAAGCTTTTGTCGGGGTTTTATTTATGTATATGTCGAGTTATTCAAGTTCTATGGTCGACATTCAGACATTAATATGACTTTTATTTATGTATTTTTTAGAAAAAAATAAAAATAAATCTGGAATAGAAGAGTAAAAACTGAAGAAAAAAAACCTAAAAACATGGGCAATTAATGTGAAAAGAGCAGATTTGGAGGATGAGAAGGGTAATGATACAGTGTTATCAAAAGAAGTCTCTGGAGGGTACATCGGTTGAAATAGACGATTCGGGAAAACAAGGGTCCCGCATCGCACGATAGTGCTTGTTGTACAACCTCAGTTTATGGTGCCTAATGTCTTGATGTGACAAAAATCACCATTCGATCTTATCATATTCGAATCTTCTATGTTTACATCCGTCGATTACATCTGGTCCCTCCCGCACGACCACGTGAATTCTCCTGCACCCTCATTATCCTTGAAAAGTCTGATACCAACACTACAGATTTTCTAGTTGCTACTTGCTAGTAGGGACGAGCAAAAGGACCGAACCGGCCGGAACCGGTCCGAGTCGGACCCGACCCGGAAACCGGCTTCGGTCAAAATCAAGAACCGAACCGGCCCGGCGGTTCTACCGGTTCCTACCGGTTCTTGTCGTGTCTTAAAATGTTGGAACCGGTCCTCGAAAAATAGCATCATACGGTTCCGGTTTTTGCCGGTGCTACCGGTTCCGGTTATATCGGTTCCGGTTCCTACCGGTTCCCGGTTCCAAAAATCCACAAAAATAACGTCCCGGTCCCAGCCCGACCGGTTCCATCGGGTTCCGGTTCCGGTGCCGGTTCCGGTTCCGGTACCGGTTCCGGCCGGTTCCCCGGTCCATATGCTCATCCCTACTTGCTAGTTACTAACCAAGAATTCGATTTTCATAACAATTGTGTCACACACACACACACACACACACACACATATATATATATATATATAATATATATATATATATATATATATATATATATATATATATATATATATATATATGTTCAGGTTCATTTGAGACCATGCTAATTTTGTGAGACCGTGAGACCAAATCTAAAAATAATTTTAAAATGCAAAATAAAAGGAAAAATCCGAAAAAAAAATTAATTATTATTTTCGTCACTTTAATTACCTAAAAAAAATAAAAAAAATTACCGTTTTTTTTGAAAAAATACGTGAAATATTCTAATAAAATATTACACTGTAAATATTCTAATGTGATTTTTAGAATGTTAGAATATTCTACTAGATTTGTCAGATATGCAGAATATTCTAATATCCTACTAGAATATGTAAAAAAATGTATTTATTATTTATTTATTATTAATTTTTTTTGGTATTTTTTTTGGAAAATATAAATTCCAAAAATAATATTTGAAATTTTTTTTTTGAAAATTTTCAATTATTTTGCATTTTAAAAATGTTTTTTTTATCTACCAAATGAGTGGCTAGGATTGCGTCTCACGGTCTCACAAAATTAGGCCGTCTCACATGAACGTAACCATATATATATATATATATATATATATATATATATATATATATATATATATATATATATATATATATATAGAGAGAGAGAGAGAGAGAGAGAGAGAGAGAGAATCGAATGAAGACTCTTATTTTGGTGAGGACAACTTAAAAAAATTAAAAAAAAATACAAATCCTAAAATCGAGCATACTACTATATCGGAGAGAAAAAAAAATTGGAAAAAACTTTTTGGAAAAAACTATGCTAGGTTATTATAGATTTTTTTTATTCTTCTCATTTTGTCAGAATGTTGTCAGAATGTTTATTGAGTCGTATTCTGTAAGAATGAAAATGAGTGAAAAACGATGCATGAAAACAAAAATGAATAAGAATTAGTGAGAATGCATGAAAATTATTATTATTACTAAGCACGAGTCACGAATAACCGTCTGACAATTTTGAGCCATTGGATCTCTTCAACTTTTGATCTCAGCCGCATAAACTCCCTATTTTACAGTTATTTTTACAGTTTCTTTGCTTCCTCCGCTTCTTCTTCCCCACGTTCGGCTAACCCCCTTCTCCTTCAACTGCTCACCTTCCGTTTTATTGGCGATCCATGGCAGTTCGTCGTCGCCCCATGTTCTCAACCATCGGCGGTTGTCTCCTTTAACAAGCATTCAATCGGTTAATCAGTCTCCTTCAAAGAGTGATTCGGTTATGGCTTCAACCTCCTCCGATTACGTCTTTAACCCCCACTTCTCCTTAATCCCTAAATATCAGGTAGCTGTGGTAATGGAGGAGAAATTGGTTGTTCTGTTGGTTGATCAATAATGGAGGAGAAATTGGCTTCTTTGAATGTATTCGATATTCGATATTCCATCACTTCAAATCTATCTATTGGTTGATCAATAATGGAGGAGAAATTGGTTGTTCTGTTAGAAGATTGAAACATCCCAAAATACGACCCAAAAATTTTTGTTTTAATATTACTAAAATCACATCATCGAATGTCATACATACTAAGAACCATAGAGTGAGTAACTCAAAAGTCAAGTAACTGTGTCAAAACAAATACTGTATCAATCATATCGAAATATCTGAATAAAACTCCCAGGATAAAACTGAAACTGTGGTGTGTGCCATGCCATCATCCCGAGCTCTTCCCTTTACTTGCGGAAGTACCTGAAACCAAAAACTGAAACTGTAAGCACAAAGCTTAGTGAGTTCCCCCAATCTACCACATACCATACAATAACATATAAAACAACTACTGGGCCTTGCCCACTACATCGGACCGAAGTCCGGAAACTGCATCAGACCGAAGTCCGGAACTAACCAGGGCCTTGCCCTCTGCATCGGACCGAAGTCCGGAAACTGCATCGGACCGAAGTCCGGAACTAACCAGGGCCTTGCCCTCTGCATCGGACCGAAGTCCAGAAACTGCATCGGACCGAAGTCCGGAAACTGACTGAACATAGCATAGCATAATCATAACTACTAACATAGCACATATACTGCATACTGCATCGGACCGAAGTCCGGAACACATAACACAAAGACATGCTTGAATCACAAAGACATCAAGCACACTGGACTACTGCATCGGACCGAAGTCCGGACTACTGCTAACTAAACGGGCCGGCATTGTGGTCGTAGACCCGTTCCTATTGGAAGGAAACTCACCTCGTAACGCTGGCTGCCGAGATGCTAAATCTAAAACTGCCTGACCGCTGCTCCGGAACTCCCCGGCTACAAATCCCATAAACACTAAATCAAATACTGATAACAAATCTCAGGGCAAAATGACTGTTTCACCCCTGGTCAAAGTCAACTTCCTGGTTAAAGTCAACTTCCTGGTTGACCGGACTCGCCGAGTCAGGGCATAGACTCGCCGAGTCCCTTCTTTACTAACACTGACTTTAACTCACCGAGTCCCTTTCCTACTCACTGACTCACCCTGGACTTACAAGTCGAAGAAAAACGGGGACTCGCGACTCGACTTGTCGAGTACTCGCCGAGTTCTGTCGTGCAGATTCCATACAGTTGAATTCTAAACCATTCCAGAGCATATAACTTGTAGATCTGAGCCCCTGGAACCATCTGAACACGTAAAGTTGCTAACTTCACGTGTATCTAAGAAGGAATGAAGCTATTTCAGTCAAACACTACTTTTCTCAGGAAAACTCATCCAACTCGCCGAGTTGTATGAACAACTCGTCGAGTCTGAGGCAATCTCCATCGGACTCGCCGAGTTGCTCATCCAACTCGAAGAGTTCACGGCTATCTTCATATGACTCGCCGAGTCAACCTTGAGACTCGCCGAGTCCATTCAGTCCAAATTCCATACATCCTGATTTGAGCCATTCAGCGGCTCCAAATCGCAGATCCAAGTTCCTAGGCCATGCTTATCACGTAAAGTTGCAAACTTTACGTGCATGCATGGCTTTAAAAGCTTCAAATGCCAAATCTAAGCTCTTAATGGGGTTCCAAGCTCAAAAGGGACCTCAATCATGACCACAACTGAAACTTTACACTTCTAGAATGCAATAAGGGTCCAGATCTGAAGTATAACCCGACCATAAGGCTTCTTCACAAAGGATTTGGGATTTTTGGGCTAAAAAGTAACAATTTGGGGACCAACAAGATCTACTAGATCAATAAGCAAGATGGAGACTTTATTACCAGAAAATATGGCCACAAATGAGTGTGTTCTGGATCTACTTCCCCTTCCTTGAACTCTTCAACCTTCTCCTTCTTCTACTTGCTCCAAAGTGCACCAAAAGTTCCTTCACAAGGCAACAAACACTCACACACTCTTTAAGGGGGCTAGGGTTTGGTAAGAAATGCTCTGAGGGTGATGGAGGCGAATTTGGGGCGCAATAAGATGTTTAAATAGGGTGCAAACCCTTAAAATTAGGGCTTCATCCAGACAGGCGGACTCGCCGAGTCCCAGCATGTGGACTCGTCGAGTAGCCGGCTCATCTTGCGTGGGCATTCCAACCCGATGGTTGTGGGCCGAGAGTATTCCATCCCGGGGATGATTGGACTCGTAGCAGGTGGGTATTCCAACCCGATGGTTGTGGGCCTGGGGTATTCCAACCCGATGGTTGATTGGACCCATAGTATGTTGGCATTCCAACCCGATGGATGAGGGGCCTGGGGTATTCCATCCCGACGGATGATTGGACCCATAGTATGTTGTTTGTTATTGTATGTGTATTGTTGTGTGTATGGGTATTTTGGGGGTAATTCACTAAGCTTTCGGGCTTACAATTTCAGTTTATTGTTTCAGGTTCAGCGGATGACCGTGGGAAGGCGAAGGCGTGACCGTACACTTCCTCGATTTATGATTATGATTTCTGGGAACTCTGATGTTTAAACTATTTTGAAAACAAATTGTAATAACCGAATGGTTTTATATGATTTAAAAAGTTTTAAATTGGCTCGAATTTTTGGGATGTTACAAGTTGGTATCAGAACCTTGGTTTGAGTGAATTGGAGGAATACTCGTGTGAATCCAGTCTCAAATCAAGGAAACATTTTCAAAATGGGTTTTAAATGGTTTTCAAAATAAGTAAAAGAGGATGCGAAGTGTACGATCAACCGGGGCCAGTAAGTAGACCCCAAAATACCATGTAGTTATTTGATATTGTGATATGTTAGAACAACATGCTAGTACTAGGTTAGGGATCTTCAGGAATTGCATGATAGAATTGCCTGATTACATGATGCCTGATAGCCTAGAGTTTTCCTTATATGAAATTGACATGATTACTGTAGTTGCTTAGTGTATGCATCACGACTGTACATAATTAAGATCTTATAGCCTGAGAATGTTTTGTTTAGCCTTATTTCCTGTTCTTGTATGATGAAGGGCTTAGGGTAGGATCAGGTATTCGAAAGTCTATAGGGTCCAGCGTTATGTATGGCTAGCATACACTAGTGCTGCAGGGTTGGTGGAAGTTTCATGGATGGGTGGGTAGTGAGAGGCTGGGAGGCCAATTATGAGATATTTAGCATTCCTCTAGGAGTGAGGGTTGAGCACTTGCTATGTATATGTATATTGTTAGGGCGTTGTGGTGATACTTGAGACAAATATGGGTAGGTGTGGAAGGTAGTATGGGCTCGTACTACTGAAAGCACAGGACCCATACGCGTAGCAAGGAAGTCACAACCCCTAGGGTTTTTGGTTAGGAGTTGGTTCCCGGATTGTTATGAGGAGTATCTGATATCTTTTCGGCATGTTTTTCAGCATGGTGATTAAACGACGATTCGTGACTGGATCCGGGTCAGGATCAGGAGAGGCGGACATGAGGCGCCGACAGCGCCCGAGACTATCGGCCAGATGAGATGGATGACAGGATCCGGGAGTTCCTGCATGATGAGGTTGCTGGTATGTTCCGGGCTTAGTTGCCGGAGATGTTTGGGTCTATCAAGACCGCTATGGTAGAGTATTTCGATGATCGCTATGCAACCCTCACTGAGGCGGCTGCCGCCGCAGCCACAACAGCTGTATCAGCGACAAGGGTTGGGAGCCGGGCGAGCTTTTCAGTACCGGAACTTCGATAACATGAAGCCCCCGACATTTGATGGTACTCAGGATCCGATCTTATCCATGAGGTGGCTATCCGACATGGAAGGATGTTTCTTCACATGTTCATGTCCTGCTGACCAGAAGGTCAGGTGTGCTCTGAACCTGTTGAGGTCCGGAGCAAAGGATTGGTGGAGGTTGATTACTGGATCATATTCGGATGAGCAGCACTCTGCGGTTACTTAGGATCGATTTCGGGATATGTTCCGTACCCGTTACGTCCCGCGGGTTGAGCGGGAGAGGGTAGCGCAGGAGTTCTTGGATCTGCGATAGGATGCAGAGTCAGTGACGGAGATCACTCGCAAATTTACTGAGAGGGCGATGTTTTGCCCTGAGTTAGCTTCGGAGATGGCTCAGATGACCCAATATCTGAGCATGCTCAATACGGACATCAGACAGTTCGTGTCCATGTAGAGATGTGATACCTTGCTAGAGTTACAGGAGGCCGCCAGGCGGCGAGAGTTGGAGATTGAGCTTCAGCTGAGAGAGCATAGACAGGCCCCGAGGCAGTCACAGCCTGCGCCGAAACGGTTTAGGGCCACTGATTACAGACAGGGGAGTCAGAGGGGTCGTACTTGTGGAAAGTGCGGCAAGGTACATGATGGGGTTTGCCGATCTTCTTCAGGATGCCACAAGTGTGGCAAGGAGGGTTACATCGCGAAGGATTGTAGGCAGCAGACTCCAGGGGATGGTGTCAGAATTTGTTACCATTGTGAGCAGGTGGGCCATATGAAGGCCCAGTGTCCCCTACTAGCTGCCAGGCCGGTGCAGGCTCCAGCGCCGACCACCCTGAGGATTACTGGTGGGGGTCAGGGTAGAGCAGAGCCTCCGAAGGCTCAAGGACGCGCCTTCCAGCTTAAAGCCGAGGAGGCCAGAGCAGTACCTGAGGTGGCGACCGGTATGTCTTTTCTCCTATCCATTTGTTTATGATTGTATTATGAGCTTTCGTTTTCTTTATGCATAAGTTATTAGGACATAGGAGAGGTTAAGGAGAATTTATTGTCAAGGGATTATAGATGGTTAGGATCCGAAGATGCATTCGAGGTTAAGGAGTTAGGGTAGATATCGCCAGCCTAAGACGAGTAG